AAGTTAATTTTCACTTTTCTCTGTTGAAGTTAGTTCTGTACGTACGGCGGAAGAATTGCTGCAGTCNCAGGTCGTATTTGGTATTTTGTGTCTGCACTTTTTTAACTAGGCCCACAATATGTGCAATGTGGCATTTGAAGTTAATTTTCACTGTTCTCTGTTGAAGTTAGTTCTGTACGTACGGCGGAAGAATTGCTGCAGTCAGGATCTGCAAGCAGAATTGTAGCACATGGTTGCATTTGTTGTCAACAATTTAAATGAAACCAGTTCGTTGAATTTGAAATTATGATATCGAAAAATTTGCGATTTTCTATAAAAGAAGTGAGTAAATATTATTTTATTTAATAATTATTAACTCCAGTCAAACGTGCGAATTTCTACAAATTTGCGTACGTGCAGAATTTTGTATGCTTCTCTATGTATTTGAGGATATTTTCTTATTATTATTTTAAACGAACAAAGCTAGTAAATACATTTTTTTTCATTGGTACCAGAGGTGGACAATTTATGATTACGGTTACATTTNCTCTCTATGTATTTGAGGATATTTTCTTATTATTATTTTAAACGAACAAAGCTAGTAAATAAATTTTTTTCATTGGTACCAGAGGTGGACAATTTATGATTACGGTTACATTTTAATTACGATTGTTTAAATGTAATCCTTAAATTATATACGAATACGATTATTTTAATTGTAATCATAAATGTTGCCATTACGATTGTAATAATTGTAATCTTAAAAATTTAAGGACTGAGGTTACTGTAATCGTAACCATGAAATACATGATATAATTGTAATCTTAAATTTAATGGTTATCCTAGGTAATCAAAATGTAATCGTAATCATAAAGTGACCAGCTCTAATTGGTACCATAACATAAAACGCATTACAAATGGAGACATTCTTTGAGAAACAGACAGTCCATTAAATTGAGCTAGTAAGCTAAAACTAGTAGGAAATTTATTTATTTATTTTATTTAACAGTTTGTAATTTATTATAATAGCGCTGATATGTTCGTTCTTACTAGGGCAGGCCTGTAATTAAATTTGTTGCCATTTACTTAACAATAAATATCATATTCCCTAGTTGTTAAAACAAGAAAATATATGGGAACATTTTGAGGGATGTTGGCTGCTGTTCTAGCAGTCCTTGGCTGGTTTTAATCTAGGTCGTCATTAGATAGTATACGACTCGTTGGAATAAATTATCATTTGTCGTTTTATAGATTATTGGAATTCTAAAATTTTCATAGTAGTAGCGTAAAAATTGCATAACATTACTGAAGCCACTGGTTATTTTCAAATTGTATATATTATATATATACATAGTTTGGAAGGATTTCATTGTAAATACACTATATATATGCTTACATATGTACATATGTATGTATCTATGAATGTATGCATAATTTTGTTATAAACATTTAAAAAGAATGCATATGTTTATTTACTTTCGCTATTTATTTGCAATCAGCGAAATAATAAGATTGGCATGGAAAGGAGGTTGTGCTGACGATCGGGAATTCCATGTGTATAAATCGTCCCACTAAATTTCAAAGTATGTAACACAAAAATTATACTGCTCTGTTATTTATCGGAATGTTAATAAAACGAAACTCAAGAGTGAATGTTGCATATATTCACATATATACATATGAAATACCTAATTTTGGTATTTAATTTTTGTGTGGTAGTAGCATACTATAGGATGTCCCTAAACGAAAAACTAACGTTTTACGCAGAAAGCTTAAAATTTCCCTTTTCGCANTCTAATTTTGGGGTATTTAATTTTTGTGTGGTAGTAGCATACTATAGGATGTCCCTAAACGAAAAACTAACGTTTTACGCAGAAAGCTTAAAATTTCCCTTTTCGCATATTGTGTATATAAATAAATAAGAATGTATGTATGTCGCATGCATGTGTACAAGTATACAACATGCGGTATAATAATTCCCGCTGGGAAAATAGGTAAACACCTTACGAGGTAAGCCATGTTTTCTTTCAGTTTTTAGTAAAGTAAAGGAGATTCGTCAGTGAAGTGGTAAGGACCACCTGGTGAAGTGCAAGTCGCTGGTAAGGTATTGCCCTTCACCCGGCGGTCCTTACCACTTCCCTGCTGNCAAGTCGCTGGTAAGGTATTGCCCTTCACCCGGCGGTCCATACCACTTCCCTGCTGAATCTCCATTACTTTAACAAAAACGTGGCCGCCTTATGTAAGTAGTAATTTAGAATGTTCATTTGTTATCAGACATACTTCTGAGGCGCTTTACAAAGTAAGCTAGTGTAATGCAGAGCAGTCGCTCGGAGTAGTTCGGCGCTTGAAAATAACTTCGGCTGCACGTTATTTTGCAACTGACAATGTAATGTGTCGTCGGAGAGGTTCATTTTGTGCTTTACTAGTAGATCACATTGGCCATGATGACAACTTTGGTACTAAAAACTGAAAGAAAATATGGCTTACCTCGTAAGGTGCTTACCTATTTTCCCAGTGGGAAAAATTAATGAAATGCCTACGAATATGTATGCATGTTAAAATATAAAAAATCGATTAAGCTAATATTACATACATAAGTATGTATATGAAAAANATATTTTCCCAGTGGGAAAAATGAATGAAATGCCTACGAATATGTATGCATGTTAAAATATAAAAAATCGATTAAGCTAATATTACATACATAAGTATGTATATGAAAAAAATAATAATTGTAAATTTAAACGTAATTAAATATTTAAGTAAAATACATACATAACTACAAAAGAGGTTGGCGACCTGCAGTGAGAATGCAGGTGCTGAGCGCACATGTTATAATTCATTGTGTTCTCTATGTCAACATACTAACTAACAAATTATCTTACGTTAAGCATACTAAATATGTATACTTTAATGTGTCTAACATATTATTAGTTCTAATAAATATGAATATGAGAATGCGTATATTTTTTAAAATCTCTTTAGCCCTAAGCACTTATAATCGTATGCGTAACTAATTATTTCACAACTAAACGGCAATAAAGTTAAGAATTTATATAAAGTACAGTTTATACTTTCTATGTTGTAACAAGTCTAAATGGTTTCGCAACTCTCCGGAATCTTTTACAACTAAAAGACGATATGAATCTTCAACCACCTTAATAACCAGGCACGGAAAATAATCATAATTTTTTCAATTTTAACCAAAAAAAATCAACAAGTTATAATCGCTGTAAAACCATTTTATTTATACCCACGTATTTGTTTTCGTACGTCCCACAGTAATTTACAATGATTTTTATTTTTCGAGTTTAATCAATAAAGATTAAAAATAATAATTAATATTTGAGTTTTAGTTTTTCGCTCAAACGTAATTATTATTACTTGATTTTTATATTTTCGATCAAAAATAATGATTATTTTATGATTTTTATTTTTTCGCTCAGAGATAATAATTATTACCGAGTTTTATTTTTTCACTTAAGAATAATGATCATTCCAAAAAATCAAAATCTATACCATCGCGGTTTCCGCCGTATCCTTTGCGGGGGTAGCGACACCCTAATTAAAGGAATAAGTCTAAAAATTTTCAGGTAAAAGTAAGTTGCGTCTGTAAAGCCTTTTAAATTTTATAAATAATCATTATTTNGAAAAATCAAAATCTATACCATCGCGGTTTCCGCCGTATCCTTTTCGGGGGTAGCGACACCCTAATTAAAGGAATAAGTCTAAAAATTTTCAGGTAAAATTTCAGTAAGTTGCGTCTGTAAAGCCTTTTAAATTTTATAAATAATCATTATTTTTAAGTGGAAAAATAAAACTCAGTAATAGTTATTATCTCTGAGCGAAAAAATAAAAATCATAAATTAATCATTATTTTTGATCAAAAAAATAAAAATCAAATAATAATCATTTTCGTTGAGCAGAAAAATAAAAATCAATAATAATTATTATTTTAGAGCGAAAAAAATAAAATTCATAAAATAATGATTAAATGCTGATTTAAATTATTTTACTCACAATGATTACCGTTCCTGTTAATAACATAAGAAAGTTCAGGAGTTAGTGCAGTCGAAGAAATTAATTACCAGTTAAAGTCACAAGTATATTTATATAGTTAAGTAGTAAGAGCTTCTGAACATCGAAACAGAGGTAGAGGGGACAGCGCATCTACCTTATAAAAAAATTAGTTTTCTTTCTAGNTCCTGTTAATAACATAAGAAAGTTCAGGAGTTAGTGCAGTCGAAGAAATTAATTACCAGTTAAAGTCAAAAGTATATTTATATAGTTAAGTAGTAAGAGCTTCTGAACATCGAAACAGAGGTAGAGGGGACAGCGCATCTACCTTATAAAAAAATTAGTTTTCTTTCTAGAGTACCGATTTCTGCAAAGTTCGGCCGTCTAACCGCATGACTTAGACTTTTTTTTTAGTGATTTTTTAGTTTTTTCAACCAGTTCAAGCAACAACATAGGGCCTAAAATAATTGTAACGGATGAGTTTGATTAAACAAGCCAATAAAATACAAGCGATTCTGCAATGAAAACGGTTTGCAATTGTGTTAAATAATATTCGGTTTTGAGTTTGCCTCTATGTATACAATACATCCATACATATGTATGATATGAATATGTATGCGTAAATATGCATACTTGAGTAAGCAAATACCTTTGCTTATCTCTATTATTGTCATCGTACAATTCAAGATAGAACCCATTATATACAAATGTATTCATAAACATTGCCGCAGCTGTGGTGTAGTGGTTAGCAGTGCGCGCTACCACTCCGCAGGGCCCGGCTCAACCCAACAACGAAAAATAAAAATAAAAAATAAAGTTTTTTCTAACACCGGTCGCCCCTCGGCAAACAATGCCATGAAAAACAGTTTCTCGAAAATACAATCGCCGTTCGGAGTCGGCGTAAAACTGTAGGTCTCTCCGCTTTGAGTGACAACATCAAGGCGCACGCCACAAATCGGAGGAGAAGCTCGGCCAAACACTAACATATGTGTAAGCGCCAATCTATTATATATACATTTATGTACATATGTACATACATAACTATAAACGAGGCTTTGGGAGTGTTTAAAAGAAATCAAATTCAATACTAGATTCATGCGGCTTCATCAACTGAAAAGCAACACGAGTCTTCTTGCTGGTAGTAGATTTTTCTGATTAAAATGTATGCTAATAGCACGGGCAGATATGCTGACTTGGATAAGGAATATTCACCTACGAAAAATTCGAAACGTTTTTTAAATACGGCACAACCTGATATAGTTGTCATAGAACAGTTTTTGAAAACTACTACGGAGCGTGAGTTACTTCTGATTCCCTTTGTTAATAAAACACAAGTAATATGAATGCTTTATTAGAAACTCAAAATGCACGCAAAAAGTATATAGTACGGGAGAGCGTAACCTATAGAAAAAATAATTTCAATGCGAGTACTGTTGATAACCAAGTGGTAGACATTTACTATAAGGATAAGGAGCACGGTTGGGCATAAAAAAAAAAACAGTGATTAGTGAATGTTACTTGTGGATGTTTAATGTTTTCAGGCTCTCCAATTTTTGTTTATATACACGGCGGATACTGGCAAGAGTTGGATAGACACACTTCCGGCTCATTCGTGGAACCGCTGGTCGAACAAGGTTACCGCGTAATCGCCGCAGACTATAATTTATGCCCCACAGTAACTCTACATGGGATTAATGAGCAAATAAATGATTTCTATGAGTGGTTATTTCGATATGCAAACGATACACAAGCTAGGTAAGCTGAAAATTAGGAAATTCTATCAATTAAAAATATGTATCCAGTGCGTAAATTTCCCGTTTTATATTTTAGCAAAATCTCAATTAGTGGCCACTCAGCAGGTGCCTACTTGTCAACTCTATTATTTAATAAGAGGATTGAAAATTGGCCAGGTACTGAACGTATAGATTCATTTTTTCTAATAAGCGGAATTTTTGATTTACGCGAGTGCTGGAGTTTGCCGAGTGTCAATCCGATGAATATTTTGAATTTAGATGAAACTAGCTCGAAAGCATTGTCGCCAATTTGCTGGGAACTAGATTTGGAATTCATTGAGTTTGCCAAACGAGTAAATCTACAGGTTTACGTCATAGCAGCGGAAAACGACAGTGATACATTTAAAGGTCAATCTTTAGCTTATGCAAAGAAATTAGAGAAGCATGGACTTCAAATA